CGGGTGGCATCCGCTGGGGCCCGAGGCTGCAGAGCCAGCGGAGGCTGGAGGAAGGGGGCGGAGGCCCCCGGAAAAGGGCCGGGTCGCTGAGGGAGAGGCGGCGGGAAAGCCGGGGAGGGCAGCGGCGGTGGCGGACAGCCGAATGGAGCTGGAGGCGGCGGTTGCGGGCGGCCCGGGGCGAAGAAGGGCGGCAGAGCCATGATCACCGCAGAGCTGCTCTAAGAGGTGATAGGAATCTGAGTCGTTCCCCGCTAGTCTTCCTGGAGGAACTGACGTCGTTATTACGCGAGATGCAAGTGCGACACGCCCCCGCCTGATAGCCAGGCTCTTGAGTGGGTATTCAACCTTCAATCTTCCAATTCCTAAATACTGTTCTTACTGAGCATTCTAGGTACGGAGCTAGCAACTCCGCATACAGTGAGACTAGAAGATACGGGTCTTCTCGTGGAACTACGTATGTAGTAAAGAAGACACATTAATCAAGTAATCTGCAAAAAGATGTAGAAGTGCAATAGTGAATATTTGACTTGGTCAAAAAAGTTGGGGAAGGTTGTCCTAAGGCTTTCAGGCTTCAGCTGAGATCTGAAGGATAAACAGGTGTTAAATAGAAGAGAGGGAATCACAGTCCAGATAGGAACAGCATGTGCAAAGGCCCTCTAGTAGACAGGAGTATGTCTAGTGAGGGGAACTGAAAGAAGATGGAGAACGGAAGGCCAGAGGAGAGCCTGGTGATCGTGGGGAGGTGAACAAAAGTCATAATGTCCATGATCTCATATCTTAACGGGAAATCATTGGTTTTAAACAGGAGGTGAAGGGAAGGCCATGCCATATGATTAGATTTTTAAAATTAAATTTTGAGACAATTGTAGATTCATATGCAGGTGTAAGAAGTAATACAGCAAGATCCTGTGTACCCTTTACCCAGTTTCTCCTAATGGTAACCTCTTCTGAAACTGTAATACAATATCACAACCAGGATATTGACATTGATACAGTCAAGATATAGAACATTTCCATCACTACCGGGATTCCTCATTTGCCCGTTTACAGCCGCACCCACTTCTCTTCCATAACCCTTTTCCTTAACCCCTGACGACCACTAATCTACTATTTCTATAATTTTTGTCTCTTCAAGAATGTTATATAGATGGAATCATAGAGTATATAACCTTTTGAGATTTGCTTTTGTCACTCAGCATAATCCTCTGGAGAGTCATCCAGGTTGTTGTGTATATCAAGTGTTCCTTTTCATTGCTGAGTAGTATTCCATGATGTGGATGTACCACACTCTAACCATTTGCCTGTTGCAGGTATTTTGGGTTGTTTCCAGTTTGGTGCTGTAATGAAGCTGCTATAAACATCTGTATATAGGTTTTTTTGTAAACACAAATCTTCATTTCTCTGGGAGTGCAATTCCTGGGTTGTATGGTAGTTGCATGTTATGTTTTTTTGTTTTTTGTTTTTTTTTTTTAAAAGATGACCGGTAAGGGGATCTTAACCCTTGAGTTGGTGTTGTCAGCACCACGCTCACCCAGTGAGCAAACCGGCCATCCCTATATGGGATCTGAACCCGTGGCCTTGGTGTTATCAGCACCGCACTCTCCCGAGTGAGCCAGGGGCCGGCCCCTGCATGTTATGTTTTTAAAGAAATTGCTGAGTTGTTTTCCAGAGTGACGGTACCATTTTACATTCCCACCAGCAATATATGAATGATCTAGTTTCTCTGTACTGTCATTAGCATTTTGTGTTGTTACTATTTTTTATTTTAGACATCCTGATAGGTGTGTAGTGATCTCATTGTTGTTTTAATTCACATTTCCTTAGTGGCTAATTATGTAGAATATCTTTTCATATGCTTATTTGCCATCAGTATATCCTCTTCACTGAAGTATCTGTTTATATCTTTTGCCCATTTCTAATCAGGTTGTTTGGTTTTTTACTGTTGAGAGTTCTCTATACAGTCTAGATACTAGTCCCTTGTCTAATATGTTCGCAAATATTTTCTCCCAGTCTATAGCTTGTCTTTTTATCTTCTTAACAGGGTTTTTCTTTTTGCAGAGCAAAAGTTCTAAATTTTGATTAAGTCCAACTTATCAGTTTTTCCTTTTCTGCACTCTGCTTTTGGTGTCGTGTCTGAGAATTCTTTGCTTAGCCCTAGATCCTGAAGATTTTCTCATGTGTTTTTTCTAAAAGTTTTATAAGTTTACATTCGAGTCTATGATACAGTTTTTTTCTGTGATACATTTTGAGTTAATTTTTGTATAAGGTGTGAGCCTTAGATCAACTGAGGTTCTTCCTTTTTGGCCTACAGATATCCAATTGCTCCAGCATCACTATTAGATCTTTACTTTTCAAAGTACTGTTACTCTGAGCAAAGTAACTAGATGGGACATGCCCCATTTCATATTTTCATCAAACATTTATTAAGCACTTTCTATACCAAGAGCTGAGGATGAGGTGAGGAAGAAAGGCTCCTAATCTTCAAGAGGAATTACTCTTGGGTCATACCATGCCAATCAAAGAGACTAGCCCCACTTCCCATGGGACCTCTCAAGCTTCTCAGAAACTTTTTTTTTTTTTTTTTTTAAAAAGATGACCGGTAAGGGGATCTTAACCCTTGACTTGGTGTTGTCAGCACCACGCCCAGCCAGTGAGCGAACCGGCCATCCCTATATGGGATCCGAACCCGTGGCCTTGGTGTTATCATCACCGCACTCTCCCGAGTGAGCCACCGGGCCAGCCCCTCTCAGAAACTTTTATTGTGACACTATATTTAAAGGCTTCAGTGTTCTGTTTTTGGGCGGGGGGGGGGGCGCAGCTGATGGGTACAGGGATCCGAACCCTTGACCTTAGTGTTACCAGCACTGCATTCTAACCAAGTGAGCTAACTGGCTAGCTAAAGACTTCAGTTTATTTTTTTTTTTTTTTTTTTTTTTTTAAAGATGACCGGTAAGGGGATCTTAACCCTTGACTTGGTGTTGTCAGCGGCACGCTCACCCAGTGAGCAAACCGGCCATCCCTATATGGGATCCGAACCCGGGGCCTTGGTGTTATCAGCACCGCACTCTCCCGACTGAGCCACGGGCCGGCCCAAGACTTCAGTTTTTAATCTTAAAATTTATCAGGTAAGGTATAACTTTATATTTTCCAGATGGATAGTAAGTTGTCAATACCATTTATTGAATAATCTATCTTTTCCTAGCTAACTTGAAACATAACCTTTTTCACATACATACTAAATTCCTGTATGTATTTGAGATCTATTTCTGGACTTTATATTCTTTTACATTGGTCCATCTGTTCATTCGTGTACTTATACCCATTAAAATTTTTAAAACTTTTTTTTTTTTTGATGGATGGCTTGTATGGGAATCCGAACCATTGACTTTCGTGTTATGTGTTCATTTTTTAAATTTATTTTATAATATTTTAAAAATAGCTAGTAGAAGCAGCCTGTTCTCATTCTTCTTGCAACGTGCTGGTTAAGTGTAGGAGTGCTGGAACTAGTCTACCTGGTGTTAAATTCTGGCTGTTACTTACTTTTTAGTTGTATGAGTTTGGTAAAGCTGGTTAGCCACTTGGCTTCAGTTTCTTCATCTATAAGAAGGGTTGATTATAGTATCCACCTGGGAGATTTGTTAAAGGACAGGAAATACTAGGCAGTGCACAGGTGCTGCTGGAAATGATTCAGAAGGAAGGAGACACTAATAAAAGAACTAAAGGCTTTATGAAATGAGAGGGGATGACCGGACACAGAGCATATGTGAAGTGTTGAGTTTTGGTAAGAGAGATCCTTCCATTCTAACTAGAGAGAAAGGTTGGGTGATGAAGTAGGTAGCTTTATAGATGGTGGCATAATAAGTTCCACTTGATGGTTTCTCAACTATGAGGCAAAGTCTTTAGCAACATGAAAAGAGAATATTAAATGGTCATCTCAGAGCAGTAATAGGAAAATTATAGTGGTTGCCTATTTCTCAACTCCTAAGGCTCCCTAATTGTTTAACACTTCTGAGATTTCGATTTAATTGTCATTATTCTTTTCTGGCAAATTCCTACTTATTCTTCAGACCCATCTGGCCCACCACCTCCTGTGCCACCACATCTGGTACCCATCTCACCTCCATTACCATAATGCACTGAAGTTTGTTTGTTTCCCTGCCAAGACTGGTAAGGTTCTTGAAAAGCTTGGTCTGTGTCCCTAGTGTCAGGTTCCATGCAGAACGTTTAAGTAAAGATTTTCAATAAATGTTTAACATAAACTCTAATGAAACTTTGTGGAATTTACAACTAGGAGAATTTATTAGAGGGATATGGAAGTGCCAAGGATTAACCAATCCCTAGAATAAAGTAGCTCATAGGATATCTCTACCTGTTTAAAAAGACAATACTTTGGCTCTACTTGTTGCTGTCAATGCAGAGTGCTCCTGCACCATTGTAATATGGACACACCACCACACTGGCTTTCATTTTAGTCCTTTCATTTTATTCAAATGCGAAAACATATGTTCCAAGATACAAATTGTAGTTATACAGTTGTGTTTGATTTAAAAATGTCAATTATGCTTTGTTAACAACTTCCAAAACCAAATGCAAGTTATAACTAAAGTGTTTCCCAGTCCATTGCTGGAAAATAACCTTTATCATTTTAGAAGCTATTCCAATTTCCACTCTACAAAAAGGAAAATGATACAAATAGAAGAAGGTTAATGAACAAAGTTATAATATGAAAGACTTCCTGGAGAGAACTTGAACCATTACTAAGGAGACTAAGAAGGATACCTGTTTCTATTCCATACTATAGCAACCAGGCTTACACACTCCGCAGAACTGCATTTCTGGTCCTATCTGAGGCATAAACATGTACCTCACATCCCTTTTATTACATCATAGGAAGTCCAACTCTTCATCAATAGGATTTAGAATTTGTTAATAGTTTAAGGTTCTCTTCCTAAGAGAAAGTGGGTAAAAGGAAAACTCAAGAGTCTATAAACCAAAAAATGAAAACAATATTTAAATGTACTTTGATTTAAACAATTTCAAATGAGATTGAACTGAGAAATATAGAAACTTGTATCACTTTAGAAGGAAAAAAGCTTAAAAGGTACCTGGATATTTCAATATTTATGGTATCAAATGATACAATTTTCGAGTCCAAAAATTTCCCCCCACTATTTTTTTGCTATATAATAAAGGCTAATAA